CGAGTAATTTGTGAAATGGAATCCTAGTGGATGCCAAGAATCTGCATTGGGAAGGGCCGCAGAGCCCACGGCGACAATGATTTACGGCCTGGCCCTGAGAATGGTGTTAAAAAAAAATAGTTCTGGGGGCTGCTGATTGGGGATCAGCGCGGCTCATCCGAATGGGCCGAGAAATCAAGTTTCACGGCGAAAATTTTGAAAGTGATTGTGAGGCAAAGATTGGCAGCTGCATCGAAAATTGCAAAATGAATGTGAAAGTTGCTTAGGACAACCGCTCGCTGATTCTGTATACATATGTATGTGCCGCGGTAGAAGCTGAATATATAGCAGTTACGCTTATATACCTTACATATCTTTATAGCTTCATATAAAACTATCTTCAGGTGGTGCCAAACAAATAATGGCAGTGGCATTTATGGCCGTTTTCAGGTACAGCAAAGAGGAAATGCCAAGACGGTGCCGGGAGCAAACAAAAAATGATCCCCGGAGAGCACTGAGCCACCGAGCATTGAGCATCGCGCATCGAGCATCGAGCACCGAGCACTGGCTGAGAAAAGGCAGCCGGCCAAACAAACAAACAAACTGAAACTTGTATCTGAAAGATACACACTCGCAGAACCGAACAGAAAAGAAAAGAACAGAACCAAACCAAACAGACAAGACACACAAGCTCGCACACAACAGTTGGGCACTTGGCCATGGCTCTGGCTTTGGCTTTGGCTTTGGCTCTAAATGGGGGGCCTGGGCCGCCACTTGGGTTCTGGTTCTGGAGGGCCCCAGAGCGAAAGAGAGTGGGCAAGACAGCGAGCAATAAGGTGGAAGCAGTGGAAAGATAGAAGCCAGCAGAACAGCACAGCACAGTGCCGAAGCGTTTGCTAGACAAAACCCGCTTGTGGGATCTTTGACCTGCGATGGTGACGACCGAGAGAGCAGCCGCAGCCAACGTGGAGCGCTGGCCCGTCAACGCCTTGGCTGGGGCCTGGAACAGTGGTGGTGGATACTCGTACTCGCCTCGAACCTTAGAAGAGGTATCTTTGTGTCTGAGCGGGTTTTGCAGAGAATGTGTGTATCTTTGAGAGGTGGCAAGTGTTGGTCTTGGCGTTGTTTTATACAATTAACAGTAAATACCAGTTGTACAAACTCCAATTAGTTGTCCACCCAGAGATACATTTGTAGATCTACTACGTATTGTCCCTTGCTGTTCGCTTCGTTTGTATCTGCAACACTTACATTTCTCTTGTGGGGGGTTCTCAGCTCCTTTCTGGTTACAATGTTGGCAGTTCTGTTGGCAGCAGTTACCTCAGTTTCTGCATGTTCCACATAGATACAGGCACACACACCACACTCACACTGATGCACAATCACACACGCACTCTCGCGTCACTTGTATCTTATTTGGCGTTTCTGATGGAACCACTTGTTGTTTTTTTTTATACTTATTTTTGTTGTATTGGCAATTTTATTTGTCATAAGCCAACATTTGCATGCACTTCCACATAGCCATTTGGAATTTTGCACTTATTGTATTTCATTTGATTTTGTTTTCTGGTTACGCCAACAACATTTCAATTAGATTTCCATCCGCGAAACACCACTTTTTTTTTATAATTTTCTTTCTCTGCTTGGAATTCTGAATTTAGTTTTCAAGCGCCGTGCGCAGGCAGCAAATGTGATCGGAGCGCACCGAACCGCGACTCTGCAGAGGCAACTCTCTCGCTGCTCGGTTGGAATCGAACTGAACTGAACTTGGCCTCCGGACGCCATCTTAGCCCGCTTGGTCTCTGGCTCTGGCTGCTAGCTGTTGAAAGCGATTCAGTCGGAGAGTGTGTACTTCCAGTGAGAACGGAGTGGCGCTCTTTCCAGCCTGCCAATTGGAATGACGGGCTTGGGGCTAGCTCCGATCGGTTCGGACCACCAGGCACAGTTTCAGTTGGAAGATCGCGCTCAGTTGGTTTGGACGTATCCGCGGAGGTTAGCGGTATTCTATACAAGTGATTTTTTTTCTTGTTAAAAATATATATATATATATATCAAAGAATATTAATATAATAATTAATATGTTGTTAAATTTGTACTGTTCATGTGTGTTCCAAGTGGTTTTTTTATGAAAGTGATTTCGGAATACTTATGGTAGCTTCCGCTCTCCGCCTCTCTCTCTCTCTTTCCTTGTTAGTTCCAGTGAGAGCACAGCCAACTACCACTTTTGGAACATTTGTTTTTGAGCCGCTCTTGAACTACGGACAGCGTGTGAGGAATAGAGCAGGAGAACAAGAAACAAACAAACCGTTCTTGTTGTTTCTGAAGTGGCTATGAAAATGATTGGAAGCGACTACGTACTGGAAGCGCACAACATATTCCACACCACCGAGGCAAGTGCACTGGAATGCAATCCACCCCGAAACACATCAGCTTCTTCCACTTCCAATGAGAGTCTTTTGTTTTGGTTCTCCCAACAGGTGGATGGCGGCGGCTGCTTCAATGGAGCCGGCAATTCGGCCCTGGTGCTCAAAGGCGTCAACCTCACCGTCCACAGTGGCGAAGTGATGGCCATACTGGGCTCAAAGGGTAACTAAACGATCAGATCCGCGAAAAGTTAACCCAATTGACGTTTTGGAATTCACTTGATTTCAGGCAGTGGAAAGAGGGCCTTGTTGGATGTCATTTCGAGGCGTGCTGATGGTGCCAGTCGCGGTCAGGTGCTGCTGAATGGATCGCCGTTGTCCAAGGCCTTGTTCCAGCAGCGATGCGGTTATGTGACACAATCCTGCACCTTTGTGCCCGGGCTGACAGTAGCCCAGACCCTCCACTACACGCCAACGATTGTGAGTGTTTATCATTGCCATATAGACATCAAATAATTATGGTATACGATGCAGTTGAGTGGCTATCTAAAGAGTTCCAAGGTGCGACAAGTACTGGCTGATTTGGCCCTATCGCAGGTGGCCCACAAGCGTGTGGAGTATCTGAACATCAGTGAGGCGAGACGCCTGGCCATTGGCATACAACTGGTCAGAGATCCAGGTGAGTCCATCCACCCTTGATTGCAATAGAATGTACTTAACCGTTTGCGTTTCTCTCATAGTAATGCTATTGCTGGATGAGCCTACGCATGGACTCGATCCACTGAGTGCGTATCTGCTGATATCCATTCTATCCAACACGGCCAAGAAAACTGGATGTGGGATTTTACTTTCGCTAGAGAAGCCACGCTCCGATGTGTTCCCATTCTTGGATCGTGCTCTGTTTCTGTGCCTGGGTGGTGTTGTATACTCTGGTGGCACTCGCGCCATGCTGGAGTACTTCCATGGCATTGGTTTTCCCTGCCCCCAGCTGGAGAATCCCCTCATGTATTATCTCTGCCTGTCCACTGTGGATCGTCGCAGCCGTGATCGGTTCTTGGAGTCCAGCCAGCAAATCGAGGCGCTTGTGGAACGATTCTCCAGAGAGACTCCTATCTCTGATGCGCCATTGAATAACATGGGATCGGGCAAGGTTCCACTGGCCTACGGAAAACCGGGAGAGCTTAAAGTCTGGGTTATGCTGTACTTGTAAGTTAGCAATCGTAAAACATGCATTTAGATGGTAATTTTCTATTTTTTTCCTAAGGAAACTGCTTGCATCCACCTTCTCCTGCGGTCTGGTTGGCATGAAGACGCTTTTCCTCCGACTGCTGCTGCTTCCCATAGCCTTGAGCATTCTTTGGGCTTTCTATACAAATGTGGGGGTAAGTAAACAGCTACATTTTCCTCTCGTTTGTCTATAAACTCAACATATGTATTTTCCAGGATGATGCACATGGCTTCTTCACCAGAAATGGCATGATTCTGAATATATTGGGATTGTCCTATGGCTGCGGTATTCTGACCACCATATCTCTATGTAGGTTTTTGGTTTCATCCTTTAAGATTCGCGCTTAAAGTTCTTTGTTGACTCTTGTAGTTCCAGTTTGGCGAAAGAAGCTCTCACAAGACACCCCAGAGGGTCTGTACTCCGGCACCACTCTCCTTATTGCGTACAATGCCGTATCCATTCCTTTCTCTGCTGTATCCGCGGTCATCGCCAGCTGTGTGGTGTATCCGTAGGTCCCGCTAAAACATAAAACAAGTTCCAAATTAAATTTCTTCTTATCCGTAGATTGCTGCTGGATTTGAAGTACAACAACGGCATAGTATTTGCCTACCTTTTTGTGGCACTTTGGTCCAGTTTTGTGCTCGCCGAACAGCTCACAATTGCCTTCCTGCTGGTGGTCAAGGTTCCCTTCAATGCAGCCATCGCAGTGACCTATGCGCTGGTCATCAGCATTGCCCTGGCCAGTGGTACAGTGCGGTGGGTAGCACAATGACACACGACCAAATGGCCACACATTATAGTTTCGATGTTATCTTTACAGATCCTTCAAGGGGCTACAGCCCTGGCTGCAGGACAACACCAAGGGCACACATACACGCTACGCATCTTCCCTGCTGCACAGCATCGCCTTCCAAACGCGAAAGTTGAATTGTACGCCCACTGCTTCCGTAATTTGCCCCAAGCCAACGGACTTTATGCACGAGCGTCTGGGCTTGCCACATCCAGATGTAAGTTATACATAATCTAATATCTATTGAGCAGCATTTATATTCTAAGTACTTACAGGAAACAATTGATGTGGCTGCATCTTGTGCGTTTGCTGTGGGCCTGGCTGCGTTTAACATGCTCGTGTATTTGTTCCCCATGCCGCGCTGTGTGCGACAAAAGTTTAAGGACTGATCTGGCGATCGTCCACACTGCACAACATGACTAACTTTATTTATTTTAAGTGTATTTTTCAATAAAACTAAAAACATAAACATAAACACCAATGGCGCGAGCTACATCGATACTTTTCAGTATCGATCGTCAAAAGTGTATCGATATTAACGATGGTAGTAGTCGATACCACTATTTAAAAAGTATCGCCAACGACATATCGAGATCAAATCAGTTTGGCGCTCAACTTAGTTAATCGAAAGATATTCGAGTTTTATGAATTACATATCATTTTATTTACAAGAAACCTTAAAGTTAATACAATTTTGTAGTGAATTCATTGAATATTACACAACAAGTACAAAATCAGCCACTCTTCGATACAATTTTCGCTCCCGATTTGCTTCATTTTAACAATTGTCTAACGACTAAACATATACTTTTTTATTTAAATAACTAGATACACGCATGGAAATTCATTAGAACGCATCTGAAATCTGATTGAATGAATGTACGCGAGTGTTAATGGGTGCTAAGCAGGTCATTATTCGATATGCATATGAAAGATAATGCGAGCGAGTGCAGGCGGAACGGAGCTAGAGCTGGGATGATCTTTAAAGTACTGTGACACCTATGTAGCTGCTGCTAGAAAAATGACGCTGAAGAAATGGATGTATGTGGATGTTGGATCGTTTACGCTATGAATAGTAGTTAATGGTCAAGGCAGTGCAAAATGGATTTAAAGGTACAGTTGTGTAAGTAGTTAGTTCGAGTGCTGGGTGCTGGGCTAGAGGCCAGACCAGCGAGCGGATGTAGCTCAGTCCGTGTCGTAGTAGGCATAGTCGTAGCTGGTGTCCTCATCCGCATACGGTGGCCGCTGCCGTTTGCCGGCTGGCCTATCCTTCTTGTCCAGCTGCTTCTCCTTTTTGCTCCTGGCCGACTTCTTCGCCTCCACAGGGGCACTTGTCGTGCTGGTTGTGGTCGTCTTCGTTGTGCTTGGAGTTGGTCGCCTGGTGGTGCTGGTGGTAGTGGTGCTGGTCAGTTGGGTGGTGGTGCTGCTGCTGTAAGTCGTCGGCCGGCTGGTGGTCTGGGCGGTTGTCTTCGGACTAGATGGCGTTATCTGCGGACTGTACTGAGAGTTGTACTGCTGCGACGTCTTCTCCGCCTTGTAGATGTCGGCCCGCAGCTTGTTGATGCTGGCAGCGCCAAAGTTCAGCGATTGCGCCGTCTTGAAGAGCTCATCCTCGTCACTGAGGTCCGACTCCCGCTCCTTCTGATAGGCGGACTGCTGCTGGCTCTTCAGATGGCTGTGCGCCTGCTGGAAGTTGTGGCTGAAGCCATGCGGCTGCCGGCTAGACGGCGGAGCACTTGGCGTGGTAGTGCTCGTGGAGCTGGAGGATCGGGTGCGCAGGAATTTGAAGCGATTGCGTGGGAAGTCGTTCTCATACAGCTCCGGATGGTACTGACCGTCGTCCTCATCCACATTGTAGTACGGATTGGCAGTGGTAGGCAGAGCTCCAGCCACAGTCGATGCCTTCTTCGTCGTACTCTGACTGGGTCGCTGTTTCTGCTGTGCCTGATAGAAATTCTGCTCATAGAGCTTCTTGTATGTCGTGGGCTTGAAGGTGGTCGGTGTGAATGAGTCCTTGGCCGCATGCGTTACCTTCTTCACTGCAGCGGATGCCGACGTACTGGCCGCCGTGGAGGGGAAGTGCAGCTCATCATCCGCATACCGTTGGGTGGTGGCCTTGTAGGTGATGCTGCCGCGGCTGGTAAATGAACGCGGCTTTGCACTGGGCCCCGAACTGGCGGATGCTTTGAAAGGCGCCGGCTCCTGGGTGCCCACTCGGGACAGCTGTTGAGGCTTGGGGCGCTGATAGTGCGGCTCCAGCTTGTTTTGCGTGGCCTGGAAGGGTTGCGGCTGCTGCACCTTGCTCTTGGGGATGTCGACGAACTCGTTGTGGTTTATATAGTTCGATTCCTGGGGTCCCAGTTTCTGTTTGCGTGCTGCTACCGTGGGCTTGTTCCTCTTGGTGGTCTCCTTGTCGAAGTCCTGGACATTCTTGCCCGTCAACTTTGTGGAGCTCGATGGCTGTTCCGTGTACTTGGGCGGGGGCGTGCTCTTGAAGCGATAGGCGCCGCTGTTCGGATTATAGGTGGTAGGCTGGATGCGCTCCTGGGTCTGGTAGTCGTTCACGCCGAAGCTGAAGCGACTGGTGATGCTGCTGCTGGGTCTTGGCGTGGTCGTGGACCTGGCTTGTGGCGTATAGTCCAGGAAGTCCGTGTTGAATGAGGCATGCAGAGTGATCTTTTTCACCGATTTGGTGGTGCTTGGAGCTGCGGTGCTTGGGGTTGTGCTACTTGTAGGGCGCTGTCCTCGAGTGGGCGTGACTCGCGACTTGCTGGACGCCTCCGTCGTCTTGCGATTGTAATCGCTAAAGTCGTTGGGCTTGGAGCGCACTCCCGCCGACGATTCCTCATCGTACTCACGCCCGCCCTGTCGGTTCGAGAAGAAGTGCGAGCTATGGGAACCCTTGAAGATATCATCAAAGTCTTCTGCGGAGTGGAGAGAAATAGAGACAAGAGCGTGATTAATTTGAGTAATAATTTTGAAGATTCCATTGTTTCGTATTGTTGTTGCTGGCTTACGCTTTGAGTCGTCGTTGTTGTTGCCGTAATTGTTGTTGTAATAGCTGCGCTCCGTCGTGGATGTCGTTGTGGTGCTTGTGGTCGAGGTGCTGCTCGATGTTGTCGGCGTGTAATAGCTGGAAATGGGTCGCTTGGTGGGTTGCGTGATATCCAAATTGGGACTCGAGCTGGAGCTGGAGCTGGCATAATTATGTCGCGGGCGTGACTTCTGCTCACCGCCGCGGCTGTTCTCCTTAGATCGACGGACATCGCCTGCAATTACGCGTGGCCCCGCGATGAAATTAAACTTAATTGCTGGATAAACCCTGGAGCCTCTTACCTGTTTCGGCACGCTGCAGATGGAAAGTGGCCTCCTCCTCGTTGGCGCCCTTGCTATCGCCATCGCGGTACAGATCGTTCAGATTGTTGTTGTCGTAGAAGGAGGTGGCCTTGTCACAGTCCACGTCCGCCCAATTGGCGCAGATCTGCAGTTCCTGGTCAAAGGCCGTCGTGTTGGGGCAGAGGAACCGATAGTCCTGCACCTGTTGGACAAACGGATTAGCTCTTCGATGTAGGAGCTGCACACACAGCGAAATCATCAAAAACAGCACCACAAGATAACCACAGAGCAACATGCAAAATTCAATGTTATAAATGGATTCAATTTTAGCCAAAGCATTAGAGCCAAGACCAAGGCAGCAGCAACAACAACAGCAATAACAGCCACAGCCACAATTGGAGCTATCAGCCAAACCACAATTCAGGTAATTGAAACTGGCACAAACTGAACTACACCGCGAAAACAAATAATAAGTATCTTCTATCGCAATCAAGAACAAAGCCAATGAATGAAGATATTTTTTGTTTGCATTCTCGGTCAAGAGCCTCGGTCTCGAGACGACATTATGTATATTTTGTTATTGCCCTCTCGGGACCGATAGCGATAATACAGCTGTCTTTATAAAGATTAAAAAATACTTCCTTATTTCGAAATGTATACAAATATTTTTGTAGTACTTTCTGTTTTATTAAACTCACAGAACTAGCTACTCAAACCGGTTTCAATTTAAGGATTTTTCTCTCAGTGTATGTATTTTTAAATTGAAGCCACTTTTGCCTACCTACTGTATCATCCACACATCCAATCAGATGCTTCCTTGTGAGGCGATGATAGTGCCACAGTGCACCCCATCCCCCAGCCAGATATCAGGTTGCCTGCCACAAACTTTGGCATTTGCAACTGCCACTTGACATTTGCAGTGCCCGCAGTGGCCCCGGGGTCCCAGGTGACGATGCCGAGAAGTGAACGTTCTCGGCCTGGTTCTCGATGCCGCTAGGGGCCCAATAGTGCAAACAGTAGGCTAATTGACAGTCAGTTCAAAATCCATATGTATACAATATAGTATAGTATAGTGTTCATTCAAATAAAACTCTCACTCCAACACGTAAATAATACAAAACATAAAACAGATAAAAAAACACGGCGGCTTGTCGCATTTGCAAAAATGGTAAGTGACTCGAACTTCAACTTCAACTATTGCCCCAACGACAATGCCAATTCCTGTCTAGGTAAAGGTGTATCTGTTTCGCAAGCTGCATGCCCTCAGCCAGTTGCAGAGGGATGTCTGGGAGGAGGCGGTGCTCGAAGTGGTGGAGCCGGTGCTCAGTGGCAGGACCAGCACCGTCGTCAACTACGGCGAGACAATGGACTACGGCACTGACGAGAATGATGTGATGGCCCGGATCTTTAGCGATTTGTTCAGGAATGTCTACACTCTGGAGCTGACCATGGAGGTCAACATATCTATCAGGCACGTTGAGATCAATGGGGAGCGTCCAGAGTCCACGGGTGACATGGAGGGGCAGGACCACAGGCCATCCAAGCAGCACTTTGTGGCAACCACCGGTGATGTCTACACATACATAGACAGGGTGATGCGGCGCCTGCCTCATAGCCGTGTGCTCTTCACCCTCAACGTGAGGCAAACGAACATCGATCAGTCGAGAAAAGTCTACGGCAAGCTGCAGTTTATTCACCTGAAGAGTGCCTCTGCGGACCCGGAGATGGTGGACAGCTCTACGTCCATGGGCTCCTTGCTGAAGCTCTTCAAGGTCCTGTCCCGCAGCCCCAAGACACACATGCGATATCACAACATCAACTTGACGCGACTACTCCACGAGGTGCTGGCAAGTGCCGACAGCACTGTGGTAATCAACTACACAGAAGCTTCTGTGTTCAACACAGTACTGATGGCGCCGGCCTGTACTCCGGCATCAGGCCATGCCAGACGTGAGTCGTCTGTCGAGATGTGGAAGGCGATGTACAGACAGGAGCAAACGAAGTATCGATTCCTGAAGGAGAAGGTGCTCAACCTTGAGTTCTGCACCGGCGATGAGGAAAAACGGCAGCTATATGAGATGATGGATGCTCTGGAGAGCGATTCCGAAGAATATAACGATTCCAGCAGTAGCGACACGGCCATAGAGACGATGCAGGCTTGCCAGGACATTGGGATGCCCTGCTATATCCCTGTGTCCAATCAGAAAATGCATGAAATCCGAATGGAGGCAGAGCTGACCATCGAGGAGCTCAAGGAGCTGCAGTCGACAGTCGAACAGCTGTCCATCAAGAACCAGCAACAACATAAGGAGCTGCTGGAAAAAAACGAAATGGTACGCCAACTCAATGAGGAACTAATCAAAGCTAACGAGGAGCTGCTGCAACAGAAGGTCTCCTTCCAGCAGAAGCTGCAGGCGTACACGGAGAGGTTCAATCAACTTTGGCGGGATCAGAGCCAGGTCTTCCAAGCGCGTGAGATAGAGCGCAAAGAGCAACTGTCCAAAATGCTCGACAGCTACTGCAAGGAGATGCAGAGCTCGCAACAGCGGCAGCTGATCCAGCTGCAGAAACAGACAGCAGAAGGATCGCGAGCTCCAAATCCAGGTTTCAAAAAAACAACTGAAGCTCCGGGCTGTACAAAAGCCGGCAGTTGCTCCACAGCTGCCGCAGCTGTAGTCAAGGAAGAGCCAAGTGAAAAACTCTAAGCGTGCAATAAAGAAACAAACACAAAGCCCACACTTAAAGGTCACCGATCCGATCCAATACGATCCGAGCGCTTTATCTGCGCTGTAGCAAAGTCTTCTTCAGGTCTAAGTATCATCCGGTTCGGGCCAGTCACGAAGCCCCATCACACATTCTCCTCCTGCTGCTGCTGCTGCCGATGCCTGGCTGTCCAACTTTGCCATTTAGCTGGGACTTTGACACAGCCACAGAGACAGCATAGCGCGCGGGGTTCGAGTCAGATCTCAACGAGCGCCTGCAAGTTCGTTGCCTAAGTCTTTCGTTTTTACCGCCAATTTATCGACTCTGTGTGGTGGGGAGGGGGTGGGACTTGAATCTATGTCTAGAACAATTTTTAGAACAGAATCTGGCATTCGAATTCAGGGATTTAAATGTCATACAGTTATGAAATTTAGCTATAGATTATTTATATATCTCTCATCTCATATTAACAAAGAGCATTAACCATTCGCTGTGGCATAGGATAGCCTTTTTTGAGCTGGATCTGCTGCTGCCTTAATCCCAGACCGTTGCACTTGCAAGAGCAGACAACACTTACCCCGATTCCGGGAAGCTTCACGCACACGTGGAACATCTGGCACTGGGTGTCGGGATCGGCATAGTAGCCGCCGAGTATCTTGTCGTGGCAGGTGAACTGAGTCTTCGGCATATTCTGCAGACTGTACGTGGGCCATGGCCTGCCGAAAGCCAAGTCATCGTCCTCGTCGAGCAACTGCGCCTGGCCGAGTCCGAGGCTGCTCCAAAGTGTCGCCGCCGTCGTTGCTGTAAGATTCAGAAACAGAAAACGTGATCTGGTTAGGCTTACGCTCATCAAATGGAAACTCAAGTAGTGCTAGAATTGGTGCTTATGCTGACACCGAGGCTGGTGCTGGTGCTCGAGCTGATGCTGAGGCTGACCAGTGGACGAGTGACCTTCATGTGGCCGACGCTCGCATCACTTTCGCTTACATGAAGCCAGCGCGATCTCGAGACGAGCTCATGATTTATGTGTGCCGGAGCAGGCACTTGTGGCTGTCCGGCTGTCCAAGGCTGAGCAACCTCCAACATGGTTCTGCGTGTGCCTGTCTGCTTTTTATTTATTTATTTTGGGTCCATTGATTGGTATTTCTGATACCGAGAGACATCATTAACATTTCAGTCAAACGGCAAACAAGACGCCGCATTCCCACAGCGATATATGATCACTCGGGTCAGTCCAGCTGTCAAATTAACCATAAAATGGATCCACTGATCTACGGATCCACTCTGCTCATGAGGGTTGTTCAATTAAAATGCCAAGTCAATCACTTTTATGGATATACCGTCCACTGCTTGTCGTACCTGCGTCGGACATTAAAAGCTAATTAAACCCGTGACTCTTCCTAATTGCCATGACGCCCATGTATCATGTCTGTCTCGGACTCTAAGTCAGACCAGTTTTTTTCCTTCAACTACTTATTGTGGTATATGGCAGCCTGGCAGCTTCTGTTCTTGGCCAACCCCACCAGCCAGCAGCGGAAGATGAGCAATTAAAGCAATCGTAAATGCAATTTTCAACTGCTGCTGCAGAACAAATGCTGCAGCCGACATGGTGGCTTCGGTTCGTCTGGCCCGGGCACAAATTGCACTCGTAGGTTGCATAATCTGCCAGTGCGCCCATTCATCATGCCATAGCCAAAAAAAAAAAAAAACAAAAACAACAAATGCACAGAAAAAAGGAAAAACAGATAAAGAAAACCCAAAGTACCGAACAAAAAGAGAAAACAAACTATCCAGCCTAGTTGGATGGATTCAAGAAGAAAGACCGTCGTCTGTGCAGCAACCCGACTCTGATTCGCATTTAATTCAAATTCAAATGAATTTCAATTTCAGCTTGCCTCCCCCCCACACCCAATCGTGCAGGGGCATTGTGTGGCAGTGAACTATGACTGGACTGACTGGACAGGGCAGCTCTTTTGTTTCCTTTCCCCCCTAAAAATGCAGATTGTTCGATGCCGATTTCAATTGCTTTGTGGGAAGAGAGTGAATCTCTAATTTTGTGCCTGCCCCGACAAATCGCACAGAGCTCAAAGCCCAGTCAAGTGGAGTGGGTCTCACGCAGAGTGGTCTGGCTGGAGTCCCCTCAAGCTTCCGTTTTTGGGCGTTGTCCCAATCCACTCTCCAATCATCTATCTCTTTTCCAGCTATGATTGGCTTAAAAGATAATTTACAATGTGGTAATTATGCAGATGACCTACTCTTAGCCATAATTGCCATTTCTCAGCCTTGTCTTCGTTTCGCCCTGCTGCGGGAGCTGGCCAACAAATTACATTTGATTTCGAATGTGATCGATATGAAACTCATTGAATCCCATTAATTTCTTTCGCGACCGATGGACCTTGAACCAGCATCAGCAATAACAGCAGCCCATCATTTCTATATGAAACATGTTCAGAAGACAACCCAACTAATGAGCATCATGCGATTTTTTGCCCAATGCTGCGATACGATGGGATCTTTTATGTCCAAGCACAATATGCGATTGTTCATGAGTCATTATCATGGAGAAGGTCGATTGCCACAATCAAAGAAGTACTGCCGAAGCTAAGGTACAAGTTTACCAAGAAAAAGACAACAAAAGCCTAAAAGAAAGTTACCCCCTAATCGATATCTGATCTGGTATTTTCTATAGTAATTTGTTCATCAATGAAATTCAAAAGCAGGTCGAAGCCAGCAAACTATAGGCATGAAAATGAACATTTTAAATCCTTCAGACAAATTAGATCAGAACTCATGCAGAATATCAATGACAGCAACCCCGAATTATCTATAAAATTTCAATATTTGTTGTTCTACGATTTTCAAGAACATTTTGTGGAATAAATTACCCCAAAAATTCGTAGAAAATAATCACAGTCCCAGTTTTAATCCTAACTTGTTGTACTCACCCAAGATGATGGCAAACATTTTATAATTAACACTCAACATGACGGTTTATGGTTTAGGTAATCCAATTCGAGTGATTCTGTCAAAAATCAGGATGTTATCCAATAGGTAATCCAAAGCGTTTAAGCTGCTATTTAATGTCGATTTTCACATGGATCGCACTGCAAAACAAGACAGAATAGACACAGCACCAGAGAGATCTCATGAGTATGGTAAAGGGATTTGATTGGATTGGATTGCAAAATCAAAATGCAAAATCCCACAAGCCGCACAAGATGTTCGTTTCGCCTTGTTTCGCTTCGCTTTTCACGAACTAAACACCGCACACCAAAAAGTGTCCGTCATGTAGGAAATGAGCGGTGGTCGGTGCCGACAAGACCAAATAAAATGGTTCTTCTTTTGCTTCGCAGATTCAAGCGTATGTAAATGCGTACGAAAATGTGTTTCGCAAGGTGCGAAAACTACGGAAGAGCCATTTAGAAGGTGCAGCGAAACGTTGAGAGACGTGGACGTGAGGCGTCTGCCTCACTTGACTGGGCAGACGGCAGAAAAAGCACAGAGTCACAGCCGCCACTTGCAACAGGGCACAGGGCACAAGGCACAGCAGAGGTACGAACCGCACGGAGGAGACAGGCGAACCAAGCGAGCCAAGCGGGGCGCTGCGATGCGATGCGCGATTTGTGACTGGATCGTTTACGTTGTCGAAGCGAAATGATTTCGGAAAGCGAAAGGAAAAACCACTTGGAGCCCATCACAGTGGTGCCGCAGTGCTGCGGTGCTGTGGCACAGCGGCAGAGACGCTGGCAGCACCGCAGATCTCCGAGCGAAGCATCTTCGTGCTCGTCTCGTGTGAGCCGACTCGGTCGGGCTGCTTTTCGTGCTCGTTTGTTCTGCGGCTTCTTTGGTCTGGTCCCCTAGACGTATGCTTAACGCAGATTACGCATACGCAGCGTGTGACCATATGACACTTGTCTGCATTGTGCCCTGCTGCAGTGCTGCCCCCTTGGAACGCAGCTGCACCGCTGCGCCGCTCCTCCGCCTGCCAGGAGTCGTCACTCATCATCACTTACGTCAGCCGGCCGCAGGGCCAGCTCATGATTGTGGGCAAGCGCTGGCCGCACTCTCACTCCCACCGCAATTACACCCGTACCCGTACCCGTACCCGTACACGTACAGTTCACGTAGCACAGCGCCTGGTCTCTTGGGTTGCATCTTCCGCTGGGTATTATGTCATAGTCATGGCGGGGCTTTGTCATTTGCTGGCCCATCTGCTGTGGATGTTGTTGGCTGCCACTGCCGCTGCCGCTGCGGCTGTGAGTGCGGCAGCCATGTCGGGGCAAAAGTCGCGATGCCACCGACAATCCGGTTATGTCTATATGGGTAAGTGTGGCACAGACTGCGGGGAATGTGCGGCATTTTGTTGCAGTGTGGGAATTTACACGCCTGCAGTTTTCGGCCAAGATCTGTGCATCTTGGGCGTAACTACCATTTGGGCAGATTCTTCATATTTTCCGTTTTGATTCGCAAAAAGGTTGCGCCCAGATAAAGGCAAGCAACAAACCCAAGCTGTCACCTGGAACTGGCAGCTTGGCATTTCAAAGTTGAGGTTGCCTGCCGGAAAAAAACCAGACACCGAAAACAGGGCAAAGGCAAAGCAAAGGCAAAGTCATGCAAAGCAGCTGCCAGACTGCGACTGCGGTACAAAAAATGTCAACTTTAGACGGTGGAAAAGTGAAATCGAAACGGAGGACGAGCCTGCGCGACTGGATGACTTTCAACCTGGAGCCACATTCACCAAAACTTGTGGGAAGTGGCATATGGCAGAGGCAGAGCCTGTGTCTGCCGCCATTTTTCTAATTTGCTGCTGATTGTGATTGTGTAAGAGATGGCAGAGGAGTCCCAGTCGCAATCCTCGTAATAAATGCTCATTTTATACTCCTGTGTGTGCCAATGACTCACGCGATCTGCTGCTGACTGCTGCCTCCTCGGCGGCCTCCATCAGCCCTCTGCGTGGGAAAGGCCAATAATAAGGAAGTACCAGTGTCCAATGCCCCAGCACAAAGCTCAACCAAATGTCCAAAGATGACTCCAGACACGATCTCAAAGGCGATCGCTGCATGGGCATGGGTCTGAATAGATGTCTGCTTGGCATTACACAGCATCTAAGCGGATTGAATTCTAATTAGCGACCGCCTTCAATTAAATACACATCAGCTCGAATGGCCTTAGATTCCCCGCATTGACATTGATAAATGTGTTCCCCGACAAAGACACGAATTCGGTGTTTCACTTGGCAGCTACAAGTGCTCGGAAAACAGCTACAAGCCCCGCTGCTCTCGAGTCATTAAGAATCCGTTTGCCAGGTAAATTATTTAATTTTTACTCATTATGTAAGCTTTGCCAGCTGCCTGAATGCCTGGTGGTGTGGTAAAAGTGCCGAAAGCATTTGCACATCGTGTGGGAGCCAATGGAAAATGCATTCACCCAAAATGCATTCACCACCATCACCAGAAACAGCAGTGGCACCAGCAGCTGAAAAACTAAAAATTCAATTAAGCTGAAGATGCGCCTGAGCAGACTCCTCGCCGGGCAGAGTTTGGTCTGGCATTTGGTGCCATTCCAGCGACAAGTAACGCGCCAAAAAATGCCAAAACCCTGGCAGAAGCTAAAGCAGTAGCAGAAGCCGAGGCAGAGCCAGCCACAGCGGCAGGCCAACCACTAACGAGTCGCGAGGATTGCGATTGGGATTGAAGCTGGAATTGGAATCGCAGACGAGGAGACACAGAGACAGACAGACAGTCAGATAGACGGGCAGACGGCCATCCCAGGTCGTTGAGTAATTGTGCAGCAATGAGCATGGGCTGCCAGCAGATTTTCCCGTTGATAAAGTGCAGCTCTCGGAAAACCTTTACCAGGCAGCCGCTCATAATAAGAAATTGCATACTCGTATACCTCTCCATACCAACATATATTGTGTGCATATAATGTGTTTACACACATATAATTTCGCATTGGCTGGCTTCGGATTCGGATGGGGAGGCTGCACGTGGCAAACGCTGCCACAAACGGAGACGGAGGCCACAGCTGTGCAATTTACAGTTTTATGGATGCCACGCTGCTTGCGAAACGCCAAAGCTTTTTCGGGATTGGGAATGGGTCAGTCAGTCAGTGAGCGGCTCCATCGTTGAGTGGTCTGCCTGGCTAATTTGACGCATTTGCCTTGATGCGGCGGCATGTTTAAACAAATCCAGCGAGACGAGACGCATTAAAATAACCAATAAGACGAAAGACTTGAGCAACGAACTTGTTTTTGATTAAAGTTATAAGGATTCCGGTAGTCGATTGGAGCGCGGTATTTCTAGGATTTGTCCTCTTTAAAGGTCAGGCATGGCTTAGAATAAAGTTGTTCCTGCTCTGTACAGATGGTTTCACTGAAATTCTTTTGAAATTTCACTGAAATTCTATTCATTTATTCCGAAAGAAATTTGTTGATGTCTAAAAATTCATCGATCTGTTCTAAAAAAAATTGGGAAAATGAGTAACTTGAAGATTGAATAAAATTTTGTAATTTTTTTCCCAATCTGACGGCTTTGGCTACTCTCTTGCAACTCTTTAAATGTTGTTCACAGTTGTCCTTCATTTAGAACTTTGTAACTTTATAACTTTGTAATTTAATTGAATTCGATTAATACACAAAACTACAGAATATATTCTTAATACATATTTCCGAGGCAAGACTAGCCTATTCCCTGTAGTTCAGTAGCATGACATCCAAATCCTCTGCTGATCAACCTGGAACCTGGTCGTAACCTTCATAATAACCTTAATTGATCTAAAAATAAATCACACCATAAAGAGTATTAAATATATAATCAAGAGTAAAGTTAAATTAAGTTAGTTAGTGTATATAGCATCTATTAAGAAATTCACCAAGCGAATGTACTTATACAACTTTATTTATAGAACATTCCATTAAACAGATTAAAGACTTAATCCGCCTTAATCCACATCCATCGCTAGTCAATGCACTCAAGCATTCTAAATTGTATTTTCTGGCACTCGTGGACTAGCCTCACTCTGCCATAAGCACAGCCAACACACACACACACACACACTGCTGATCGCTGCAGTGGAAATTTGCATAAAATGTGCATTAGCCGCCCACCCCCGCTTAGGCAACGGCCTCGCCACCACCACCACTAGCAGCAGCAGCAGCAGCACCATCATCATTATCACCATCCACCAACAGCCTCATCGCATCCCAGGCCAGGCCAGGCCTGGTTGTATCGGATCGGATCGGGCCGGGCCGGGCCGGGCCAGGCCAGACCGGGCTGTGCCACACCAAGGCGAAACTTGTGCCGAAATCTGCACGACGAAACGTGAGAAAATGTTATAGACATTGCAGTTGCTATGCCACACAGACACACACACACACACACACACATATACTAGATACGAGTATCTATGCTTACATAGATGGATCATGGTAGGAGCGAAATAAAAACTAAATAATAAAAAATATTTGGTAAATTATGGGAATGAATGAGACGAAACGGTGTACTGCCGGCGGTACTGGTGATGCTGGTGTTGCTTTAGGTGGAGGTGGTATTCGGGCGGCAAAGAATCCAGCTTGCAGATGCTGCACCAAGAGCGGTTGTTGCTGTGTGCTGGTGCTGTACGAGTATCTGTGACTAATTGCATGCCCATACAAATGCACTTTTCGTAATTATTTGCCGTACTGCTGGAATATGTGTGAATTATTATGCAGTCAGGGTTCCATTGTAATCATGTTAATGAGCTTTCGGCTCGTCTGAGTCGCAGTTGGATCAAAGCCGAAGCTGAACTGAAGCTGAAGCACCGGCATTGTTCGTGAGTCTTCTGGAAAAAAAGAAGAATAAAATTCTAAGTCGCCAAATGCCAAATGCCAGAGCCAGAGCGATGCTACACGGCTAATAGATACTAATGCTGACCAGGATGCTGAGCTAAACGCTAGACACTAAGCTCAAATTATGCGCATTTTCAAGACAACTTTTATTTTATGGTAATTCAATTAGACGGCATCTTTTGTCACCCATCACCCACAAACAGCAGCAGCATAACCCACCAGCAATATTGCCTTTTGCCTGAACTCTGCCCAATGCTGTCGTTGTGGCCGACTGTGGCGGCGGAGTCTTCTTCATTTTGCGGGAAACATTTTGGCAAAAACGTTTTTTAAGGAGCGCCACTTGCTGATCGTTTGTTTGCCCAAAAAAAAAAAAAACACGACAACAACAGACAACAGACACAGCGGCAACAGCGACAACAGCAACAGCGGCAACATCTACAACAGAAACTTGGCTGTTTGCTGATTTATGCGTTTTGCAGCATTTAAATTGGCATTTATGTCAAACTGCGGTAAGGGTAAGTAATATTTTGTATAATACATTTCGCTTTATTTGTTTTATAACCCAGCCAGCCGGCCAGCCAGCCAGCCAGCCAGCGTCCTTGGGCTCTGTCCGCTTCGACACTTTTCCAGCCAGCCCCAGACCCCCAAAAGCTGATGAGATCTCTTTCCCATGGCTGCCACTCGCAAAAAGAAGACTAAGATGATGATGCTGATGCTGTTTACGTTCGCTTTCAGTTTATTGAGCTGCGGCAGGGCATTTGTTAAACAAATTGTTTAATTGTTCCACAATCACTTACGTAGAGGTATAGGAAGGCCCCCATGCCCCCATGTTTTGTAATGCAACTTTGTCAAGCAACCAAAGAAGTCCCCCCGTTCTAGTGGCAATATGGAAACTGAACTTTGTTCTTCTAACATTTCTGGCTGCTGTGCTTCCTCCACTCAAATACGAAACGAATAAAAAACGAATCGAAAACTTGAAATTGTGGAAACTGCTAGATGCTACTCGTACTATAAGTTGCAATTGGTCGATCCGCTCTCCAAACGGCTGTGGATCGTCAATACCTGTGCGAGATATGGTGGCAGCAGCGGCAGCATATGCAGACAAAATGCCAGTGGCCTTGGAGCAGGCTGAGAATGTTGCAGAAGCAACAACAACAACAAGAGCAGCAGCAGAAGCAACAGCAGCATCCACTTCCACTTTGACGATGGCTGAATCTTTCGAAAGCTGCCAAATCCGTTCGGCTTTCGATGGCTGTTATAGTTATAGTGTGTTTTTTTCTAGTTTATGTGAAAAATCACATCAGCAGCAGCAGCAGCTGATGTCTGCGGCGTCTCTGCCGCGGAATTACCCAATAGGCAGCAATGAAAATGTGTTGGCGTAATTAATTAAACAAATTATGTGAATTGCGCAGCGCGCATTTGACGTTTTTGGTGCAGATCTCGCATCCAGGTTCGGGGCATTCAAGTTGATTGCAATTTTTATTAATTTCACTTAGCGGTGGGAATGCCGTGGTGCTATAAAAAGTGCATCAGCATCAGTGCACTACCAGCAGCAGCAACAACAACCACTCTCATATGGTCAACAGTGATTACAATTGCAGCAGTAAACATTTTGCAATGTGACTTTTACGTGCTGGCTCCTTATAAGTAACTTATGGGCACACCTGGCTCCAACAGCAGCCCCCAAGCTCCTTGGGCCAGGCACTGGCACTTGACGGCGACGGCTCATTGTGTACTTTGTGCCATTTTGGGCGAAAAATTCTTCAATTCTTTGCTGTCTGCAGCTGTCCAGACCGCAATCAACGGCCACATCGCCGTCACAATCGCCATCGCCCCGAGTGCCTTGTCATTCATTGTTTGGGAAAATTCAATCAATTATTAATTACACGCCTTGTTGCATTCGAGTGCTCCCATCGATTGTGAGCACCGCCCCCAGACCGGACCAGACCAATAGTGCAACATCTTCATAGTGCCGTGCCTCTTCCCTGTCACATTTTCCACTTCGGCCAACTCATTTAATCTGGCAAAGTGTTTGGAAATACTTAACAACCGCATCGAAATTAGTTTCGTTATTGTGTTAGCCTTCGGCTCATCTCATCTCGTCTCGTCCACTCCGACTCTGCCTCTGCCGCTGACTCCGACTGAATTGATTTTTGACGTGCGTGCGGTTGCCGTGACGGAGGAGACCGACCCGTCCGAGTGCGTGTGGGAAAATGGGATTTAAAAGGCAATTCTGCGGCGGGGTAATGGGCAATCTATTCCGGAAATGCAGAGAACGGCCCTTGCGGCAAAAGCGGTTACGAGGCTGCTGCTTCGGTGGCAAAGGGTTAGATGTGTAGGCGTCACCAGTGGCTGCAACAGGCTCGGTTCGGTTTCAGATCCGCCATATGCTGTCGCCTGACGAGGCAACGCCACAACAATGGCACCGAAACCATGACACAAAGCCACTTGGCAAGTTGGCGGCATTTGGCGATCGCTAAAAGTCACATTGTTGACCTTTTTGCGGTCTTGGGGCTGTAGCTCCGGCTCCGGCTATGGCTGGGGCTCTCCATCTCTCAGCCTCGCACATTGGAGAAAAGGTTTCTGTCTTTTCTGAAGTAGTCTCCCCCACCTGCCCACCAGCCCACCAGCCCACCAGCCCACCTACCTACCCAAAGCAAACTCCCGGCCATAGCCATAGCCTCCGACAACAAGCGCGGCTCATTAAAATAATATTTAACCTTTGAATAAGAGACAAATACTTGTTGAATATCTACGAGTACGAGTACGAGTATGTCTGTGGAGATTCGGTTCGGTTATGTCTTTGTCTGTCCCGTCTGCCGAGCGCCAACGAGCCGTGAGCAATTAAAAATTAACTATTTACTTTTAATGCGCATAGTTTGACGCCGACCGCTCCCCCTGGCTCTAAGCCCCGCCTCTGCATCAGGCGCCCATTACCAATTGAATTCCATGTTTAACGAGTTTTGACAGCCCCGTATTTGCTTCTCTTTTCCCCCATTTGTATATTTGCAATGCAATTGTAAAGACTCTACCGCGGCAAGGGTATACCTCTGTGGCTAGACACTTTCGAGTTCCCCAAAATGATCTGAAGTTACAATCCACCAATAGAGACGAAAGAGCATTGCTGGTTTGGCTTGCATCTGTTGGGGTTTGGTTTCCTTTCTTGTTGAGGCTGGCATTCATCCGGCAGCGACTGCTGCGTCTGAACCTGACCTATCCGCTCCGTTCACACGCTGCGCTGGCTGCGATCGGCCCCCGAGGGGTGCGTACCATCGTCAGCCCTGACATCCATTGCAGCTCCAAACATCAGGGAATGCTGGAAATGGAAAAGGTGTCGAGCATTTTGCTGTCAGACGATGCCGGAAAGTGTTTGGATTTAGTGATCAAAATTCAATTTTTAAGGCCCGACGACTTCGGATTCCCGGCATTCTGAACATGCTGAAACGGCTCTTGATGACCTACGTGGCGTGCGTCGTAGTCTACAGCCTGAATTCCAACTGCCAGTCGGATCCGCCCAAAAAGCGTCAGCGCAAAGAGCTTGACGATGAACTGTACCGAGTACATCCCAAATGGAATCCATAGCCTTCATGAATTAGATTAAGTTATCAAGAATAGTAAATCCAAAATGGAACACATAGCCTTGATGAATTAGATTAAGTTATCAAGAATAGTTTGGTTTTAATTGGGAGTATTAGCCATTCGTCGCGGCTCGTTTACTGCTGCTTCTCTTTCCGAATGTTTTGCAGCACTTTGCGCAGCATGTTAAAGGAACTGAGCACAGGCACCAAGACGGGCAGGAAGAGTGGAATGTAAATGGCGTACTTCTGCTCGTCCGGAAAGTAGAGCTGAGCCAGCAAGCTGGCGTCGAAGAAGCCCCGCTCCGAGGCCACAAAAGCGCGCTTAGCCAGTGCGGAAGCGTCGTCCAGTCGATGCTCCAGTAGAGCGACCTTGGCGGCCAAAATGTCGGCATAAGAGCTCGTTATGGCTGCGGCCACTTCGTCGTTTATCACAATATAGCTGATTTGATCTGAGGGCGAGAGGAAACGATTGGATTATGGATGCCCAATTATGTTGGTAATTCGAAGAGTACCCAGCAGGTTAATGAGGCTCTGCAGCGTTCTGCTGGCCGTGGCAATGTGGCGAATGGCGCTGCGTCTGAGGTAGGCCTCGTACTCCCAGCGACGCGGGGCCAACTGCTCGATGTCTACCGTCTTGACGCCCTCCAACTGAAGCTCGCTGCTGATGTCGAGCAACTTGTGCAGCTGATCGAGCATCACCTGCATGTTGTCCGTGGTGCTGACGTGGTAGGGTAACGGCTGCTCGTCATTGGCATAGGCCAGGCACACGCTCTCCGGGGGATTAGCAATGATGACGCCGCCCCAGGGTGGAGATATGAAGGCATCCACTCCGTTCCGCGTCAACAGCTGGTTCTTGCTGTTGTAGATGTGCAGGGGCGCGTTCTTGCATGGCGGAATATAGACCACCAGATTGATGGCCGGTTTGTCGGTGGTGCTGGCACTCAGATTTTGCGATATGGAGGTAAGCAGGTGCGGCAGGTCCGTCTCCAGCAGGGCATAGTGTCGACCCAGCTTGGTCTCGTCGCGCACCTGCTTGAGATCGGCTTCGATGGCCACCCGATACTTCCATTGCGAGCGCACCGTATAGTTAGATATGTCCGACACCTGGACCAGCCAAGGCTCCACATAAGCTGCAAATAGAAATGAAGCAATTAACGTCCGCTGCCGGCCCTGAAAGTCACAATCATACTCTTCACAGCCATAGAAACGTTCCACTGGGCATAGGTTAGACGCGGCTTTGGGTTCAGTACTGAAACAATGACATCATAGGCTGGCTGTGGTGCCTCAGACTTGGCTCCGAATCGATCGTCTGTGCTGAGTATTTGATTAATGCGATACGACTGCAGGATCTTTGAGTGCAGCACCTGAGCCAGTTTGTTGGCGGCTGTAAAAGTTGAGACTTATTTATAATCGGCTTTGAGTGCATCGGAAGCATCTAGACTTACTTGTATCGCTGCGCATCAACGCCGAGCGTTCTGTTGTCAGCAATATTTCCTCTTCTAAATTGGGCCACTCAATGAACATAAAGTCCCCCACACTCTGAGGGTGCTCCTCCAGCAGCAGTTTCTCCAATGCTGCAGGCGTATGCGCCTCATGGGCTCTGGCCGGTGGCGGCATATGATTGAATTCCACAGCCCATATTTCTGAAACAAAACAAATCATTGAGAGTCACTCTAATGGATGACTGACGGCCATGCAAATCACTCTTACCGCTATCGCTAAATGCACTTTGCAGTTCGGTGATGAGCAGCTGGGCGCGACTGGAGCCCTGTGTGTAGATGGCCACCTGCACAGCCGTTTTGATGGGTTGCTCGCTCAGACCCAGTATGGCGTTCGATGGCAAAGTGACTCTGAAGGCAATGATGATTGATTTGATTGATAGGTGGAAAGTGCCGCAGGCATCCATCGGTGACTCACCTGTAGACTGTTGTGGTTTTCCACCACATCGGTACGCCAATCCCAATGATGACTACGATGAAGGCAACCGTGGCACCGATGCGATATTTATCTGTAATGGCAAGCAGAAGCAAAAGTACGAATTATTGTAATGTGTGGCTTCCCTCAAGGCGGGGTCGGGCGATGCGCGTGCACAAAACAATCGGTAATGCTATTTAGGTTTTTCTACTTCATTTATTCGGTAAATTAGTTCTGTACATTAGACCGCTACGAATGTATATAGTCCCAGAAGATTGTGCGCGAGCAGCATTGACTACTACTCCTTGTAACTGCAGGAAATTACAAAAACGGGTCCCTTCTCCAAGGGCGTATTGCGCGACACGTATTTGGTAAACTTGGTAGTGCCCTCGCAGCGGTAGACAATATTCAGGGCGTTGTCCACGGGCGATATGGTGAGCAGAACAGAATCGTCCTCTTCGTCATCGGAGCCCGTCTTTTCCTTCTCATTGGGGAGCTCTCCGTCGGGTGAGAGGTATGTGATAACTGCAGCTCCTTCCGCCGCATTCAGGTAGTAGACCAGGTCGAGGGTATTCTCCTCGCTCACCAGGCCGTCGCCTAGGACAGTGTAGTTCCCGTGCGACCACCGTTGCAGCTCCACGCTGCATTTGGGCCTCACAGCATCGGCGCCACTCAGGTCCAGATCGGTGAAGTCACGTAGCAGGTCGAACATGGCGTTGCTGCGGAACAGCTGCAGTAGCTCCTGGATCGTTCCCCTGGCTGTGCTCAGGTCCATGACTTCGTAGTTGTGCGCATTGGCCGGGCCCTGCCGCCGCCAGACCAGCGTCTCGTCATCGCTTAAGAGTTGCGCCCGAGCCAGCTCGAACTTTTCGCGTTTGAAGAATTCGTAAAGGCAGATTTCCGAGTTCTCCTCTATACGCTTTTGGATGCTGCGTCGCGTGGCCGTCTTCAGGTAGACATTATTAAGCAGAAGCCCTAACGGGGGCTTGTTCAAGCTATCCGGCTGAAGGTAGCTCAGACGGGGAAAAGCGCGCATGGAGTCCGGCACGAACGCCTCGTTAGTTTCGCCGTGAAACCAGCCGTTTATGGTGAGACGCGGGTAGTCGAATGTGGTCACCTCGCCGACCTGATGAAAGGAGCGCGACCCGACTTTGAAGAATGCGAACTGGTTATCTTTGGGGGCAATTTTACGGTGCACTGGGAACTGGGGAAAGCACTGGTCATCGCTGGAGAAGATCTCCAGACTGCCGCCTTGCGTCTCGCTCCACTCCTCCGCACCCTTCCAGGGCGACAGATAATAGATGAAGGCTATTTGTCGGTCCTTGAGCAGGTCGTCATGCACCAGCAAATAGTCGCCGCAGGTGTACATGCTGCAGGAGGCAGATACGTAGTCCAGCTTCAAGTTCGTAACCTTCTCCAGCCAAGGTCGAACTTGTTTCCGCAACACTTGCAGGAAATTTGTTAGCAGCCGGCATCGGGGCATGTTGGACAGATCTGTGCTTTGGTAGAACTCGTACAGGTCCATCTGCTTGCGCGACCATGTAACTTTGTCAATAATTTCAGACACTAGCGCTTTGCTAGTGCCCTCTGCCATCAGCCCTGGCAGCAGGCAGATCTGGAAGGGATCACCAAACACTTGTGCGCCGGTTTTCTCCTCTTTGACGGTCTGGTCCGCCTTCGCCCATGTCGACTGTAGCCACTGCGTTAGCTCCTTTTGCTGATAGGCGGCATTTAGATGTAATTCCGGCGCGGCCAGAGGTTTGTCCAGTGTTTCGCCGAGACGCAGTAGCTTCCTCTGTGGTTCACCACTGGGATCCGGCCTCTGCTCCTCCTTCTGCCTCTCCTCATGTGCGTCTGCAAGGGCAACATAATGAATGGTATTGCATTAAGCATGGCAGACACGGGGCATACCTTAAACTGTAATAGGCCGCGCTATATTAGCCACACCATACGCGTTATCAGAAATATTCACACGACTCTTTGTGCCGGCACACCTCGCACCTCACCCAGCGTTTTCGCTTACACAGATTTAAATGCTTTCACTTACCTTCGGATTTATCTTTTCGTTTGGGTTTAACTGTGCTGACGCTTGTCGTTTCCATATTTATACTACTAAATACCTTAATACTCAGGAAATTCTTAAGTCTTTTCAAGAAAAATATCAAAATTGGCTTGTGCAGCTGCAGCCCTAGAGATACGAAAAAACGAACTTAGCCCACTTAAGCCCCCCTATTTAAACAGTTATACGACTTGAGGTAAATGGCAAAAATATTACTGTTTGCAAATTCTTATTGTAGACCCATACTATCCTTCCTCTTTACTTACAAAAAAAAACAAGATATCTTTCACATGAACTGCGCTAAAATTATTCAATTCTCATTATTTTCGGTGGATTTTTAAAATACTCCCTTGGTCTACAATGGGTTAATCGTTCACCGTGAAGGATTGGAATCCAAATTCCTCGATGTTGATATTCGATTTGATGTTATTACGAGCTAGCTGGCTAGTGATAAATAATTGAAATAAGGTTTAAACAAATAAAGTCAATGCTCAAAAACGTAAGTGTGTACGGAATGAAACGTAGTGTCTGGAATGTTACGCTATTGTTGCTGGCCAACAGGTATCCACAACGAGTATGGAAATATTTATACCCTATTTCAGCTAACATTAAAATTCTGTTTTTCAGTCTTAGTTAAAACATTAGTAATGACTTCCTCTCAGATTGACATGTCTCAGACCTATTCATGCATTTCGTTTCCTCTATATATATCCTGATTCCTGGTCGTTTAAATAAACATTTCCTCAATTCTATAATATCCTTTTTCCTAGGGTATGCAGAATGTTGCGGGACAATGTAGCACGTTTTTCGATAAGTGTAAAAACGTAAAAACACAAGAAACGGCTATCGATACTATCGACTGGGTACGGTTCGCGCCGAATAGAAATTGTTTGAAAGTGAATGACAAGGATATGAATTCTAATTTAATAGATTGATGAAATTGATAAAATACGCCATTATATACCACTATACCGTAAATGTTCTCCCCAGCTACATATGAATATTTTCTCCAGATATGGCAACCACGAGTGCCAGACCACCGCACAGTGGGACAAATATCCGAAAACTGGCAATACAAAAAATTCATTTCGTTGAAGTACTTAAACTAAGATATCTCTTTGTATACAAAATAAATTGGTACATGGATGGACATGGCTATAGCCAATTTTATAACAAAAAATTACACAATATAATATATACAAAATATTAAAATTTAATTATTTCAATATTAAACATTTTTGTGGTTTATTAAAAAATACTTCAAGCCACACAATATTTCCTGAATCTTTTCCAAATTTAATTAATCTTAGTAAATTTATTACAAATGTTTTGCCAAAAATGTCAAAATAACTCACTTTGAACCGGTATTAAAAACGCCAATAGTATTGATTAGAATTTTATTTTATTTTATTATTTGGTTATCGAAACAAGACCAACATAAACATGGACGAAAACACCACTCAAAACATGGTAATTGTGTTATGACATTAGACTTTGCTAACCTTGCTGCGAAGAGAGAGATAGCATGAGAGAAAAAACGCAAAACAAGTGTTCGTAACCGTCTACCGGCTATCAGTGAACTCGGGCACTATTTAATGACAAAATGATGTTTTCCAATACGCACGCCAAGTAAAATTAGTTCTGAAAAGTATAACAATCCATTATCTCTGTCGCAGCGCTGCTCCCAGCCTAACTGGAAAGCAGAGCTGACGCATATATGTATGTATGTACGTACATATGTATATCTCTCGCTCTTGCGATAAGACTGTATTTGTTGTTGCAGTTAGTCAGTTAGCAAAGTCTAATATCATATGGGCATAAGTACTTATGTCATCATGTCGAGCCCCCTAGGGAGACTTATAGTTTTGAGATTGAGCGTAAAACGAACAGCTCATTTACTAAAATCGTAAAAATATCGAATTTTTGGTGATATATGTATGTATTTTGGAGTTGACTGCTTGTCCTCGTTTTTCTGTGGAAACGGAACCCTATAATCTTGTTATTACGTCCTGTAGGTAGAGAAACTCACCTTTTAATGTTTTCTGAATTTGTGATGTCAAACACATCAATACTTTTTAATGCATTTGCATTTGGAAGAATTGCCTGATCAAGAATGGGAAACAAATAGTTGGGCTTTCTACGTCTTCGAGTTTCAAATAAACTGATGTACTGTACGGAACATGAAATAAAGCATATGAAATAATGCACCGGCATTGCGTCACGAGCAAGAATTCTGAGGATGGCTACAGGGAGGCTGCACTAGTTCCAGTTGTACTTCATTATGCATTTTAATTTTAAAAATGATGAAAAATTCGCAATATTTTGCTGGTTTTTCTGAAAATAGTCTCCTCCGCCTTGTATGCGCTGGGCTTCACGTAGCTTCCGAAATACCTATAGTTTGTGTATCGATAAGCACATTATACAGTCGCACACACACTGTCCTATTGAGGTCAAGTCGCTGAGTATAATATGCAACAATTAATTCATGATAATGCCAAATCAACGTCAACGAAGCGGACCGGACCCAACCAGGAAATAGAAGACAATACGAGCAACAAAACGAGAAGACGCGCGTCGGCGCATTAGCTCGATCCGATCTCCGATACTATCCGATCCGATCTGTTCGGTTCGGTGGCTGGCCGGGCCGACTCGGAGGGGCTCTGCTATCTTCGGCAGAAGTTTTGACCCTATGCTATGCTAAAAATTGCAAATAAACCAACCGACATTTGCTAATGGCTATAAAGTTTTCTATTTTGATTGTGTTTATGCCTTGGTAATGCCATGACATGCCGGTCAATGCCGTTTTTTGATCTAGTCTTAGGTAATTTTTCTAATTTTCGGTTTCGGCTTTGGGTTTTTGAACTTGAGCGCTCTTTGGCTTTGACCCAATGACTGAGCTGGGCCAGCAGACTGCCGCCGAATGTCGAATGCCGAATGCCGATCGTCGACTCTGGTGGGTGGCGACCAATCGAGTGTGTTCAGCGTAATAATTGCGGCTTCGGGCATCCATCATCTAGATGTATTGCCACCAGAATTGCCCAATCCAATGGATTCCGCGTGCATAAAACCATAAATTCGTAAAACAGCAAAATAAATACACTTCAAGTGCAATTCTTTGTTGCATTCAAATTCTGCAAGCGAGTCCCTACAGCAACACATAAACAATTTTTAATGGTTCCCCAATGCATACAAAATGTTTGGACGTTGCCCGATGTCCCAGCGCATAAACGTACATGCATACAGTGTGTCGAATAAGTGTTTTTACATGGTTACAGTACCACCCGAGCGTAGAGCCCATTACAGCTGTTTCTTCACAAAAATACCACAAAGATTTAGTGCCGCGTTCAAGCGTAAACCTTTTACACGTGCTGAATGGCTCGGAAGAAATCAGATGGCCATTCTGTGGCACACTCGAAAGTTCCAGAGTGTCTCCTGGTTGATAAATCCTCCGATATATGTAATCATTGTTCTTTTTAGTATATCCAGAGGATCTTTCCAAAATCGGACCTAATTCGCTGACAAGCCTTGAAATTGTTTTGGTTATCGAATCGCCTCCTCGGGCTTTACAAGTAAAAACACTTCTTTGACTTACTGTATACACGCACTACATGGACATGTATGCACGCATACGAGTATGCGTCACATTGGCTTCGATTTATAATTTCTCGGTCAAAGTCAATGTCAATGCAAATGGCAAAAACCAGCCAGCGTCCAGTTCGAATTCGCAGTCGCAGTGCTGCGCCGCGTCGTAGCCAGCATCGCATTATTAACGATAATCAGTCAATGGGGCTATCTGGCCCAGTACCATCGCCCCACTGCCCTCCCGCAGACCGGGCAGCCATGGGTCGTGCAACGGTCCGAATGCGAACAAGTTTTGGTCACTCAGCCCGCTTATCAATAGCGTCTGCCTTTGGGCCGAGAACTCGTTTGCTTTGGGCCCTGTTACAATTTGCTTTTGGCTGCTTAGCATTTTGTATTTCCTGATATTCAATCAGCCAGTTGAAGACGAACCGAGACAGCAACTCGATTTCGGGGTTCACTTTTTCGCACCCTACCCAGAGGGTATCACGATTGAGTACAGCCGATAGCCTGCACAGAAGATATCGTTCGGGATCTAATACATACATATGTTTATTCTTCCCCTGAATGCGATATAGTCATGTTAGGTTCATAATTATCTGAACGAATTCTGGGATTGAAAAGATTGTACGATTACAAATACATATAGGAAAAATTTCGAGCATTTGGAATCCAATCAGTATATCAAAATTTTCCAACACACAAGTTCTTCAGCTGAAGGTTCGTTTAAGCTTAATTAATTCAAGTTTTTTCCCCAATTGGATTGTAATCAAAAAACATAATATTTTTCGGATACAAGGGTATTTGAAGCTTCGTAAAGACTTCCTTTCTTTGGTTTCGGTTTCTTCTGCCGCAGAGACAGAAACATACTCGAGGTTAGCTTGGAGTTTGGGTTTGTCTTTTTTTCGCGCAACATTGGCCTTTTTGTTTGGCTTTGTTTCATTTACATAATTTAATTGATATGGCTGGTCGATCGGCCGGAGAGATACATTGGAACTGGTTTACTGTTACATCTATGCGGAAGTCTGCCAAGCGGAAGTCCAAGTCCACTGTCTAGATAATGTGTAATGACCTGTGGAAATTTAAATATCAAATCTGAGTTACTTCGAACCGAAATTTAGGAACTAATAGACTACTGAAACCTTGCCCATATCAAAGGTAAAGGTCGAGAGGTTAAATGTAAATGGCAGTTTTGAAGAGAACAAACATATAATCTATTATATTTAATTTTCGCTGGTTTCGACCTGTTGTATTAATACACTGTGAGCTCACAGTGGCCGGTCTCGTGTTGGCCAAAACTTGTTCTGCGAAAAGAATTTCTGACAATTCGATCAGCTATAAATAAATCGTTATTTATTAAAATACTTCTGCTATCATGCTCCAAGCTAGTGCCAGAATTTCTACATCGGCGTGTATCGACAGGAAAATTGTATTTACATTTTCTAGGTTGATTTACATGATTTACCCAGCAAAAAGATAACT